ATGGACAGACCTTTCTGGAGCGGTTTCTACTTTTGTTTCTTTTCTTTTCTTTTTTTTGAGACAGGGTCTCACTATGTAGTTGAGACTGACCTGGAACTCACTACGCAGCCCCAGGCTGGTCTCGAACTCACAGTGATCCTCCTGCCTCAGCCTCATGAGCGCTGGGATTACAGGCGTGCGCCACCATGCCCAGCGTTACTTTTGATTTGTTTCCTTTATTTATTTATTTATTTATTTAGGTCCCGGGGATCAAACTCAGGTCCTTGCACTTACAAAGCATGTGCCTGAACCACTGAGCTAAATCCCCAGCCCCTTGATTTGTTTCCTTTTAAATTTCTGATTTTCCCCTGAACCGTTCCTTGCATAAGATTTTTGCTTCTGTCACCCATCCTTAAAATTTGGTGTTTCCAAGGCGGGCATGGTGGCACATACCTGGTAATCCAAGCAGTCTGGGAGGCTGAGGCAGGAGGATTGCAAATTTGAGTCCTGCCTGGGCAACTAAACAAGACTCTATCTTTAAAAAGAATAAATAAACAAATAAAAAGTGGAATGGATTTGTAGATCAGTGTGAAGGCCCTGGGCTAAGGTCCCACTGCTGGGGGAAAAAAAAAAAAAAGAGTTGTTTCCAAGATCTCCTCCTACACTAGTTTCATCTTAAAGGCCTGTGCTTCCTAGGATCGTGATTCCCAGCCCATCTCTCTCGGCAGGTGTCAGATCCTCTGTGTTGCAGTGTATTCTGCAGGAGCCATGCTCCTCAGGGGTCTTTCCGTCCCAGATGCCTAAATCCAAGCCCTATCCACAACTCCTCTCATTCAGTCCACTCTGCCCTTCTTGTGCCATCCTGCTGGTAGGACACATGCACTCACGTACCCAGAAATTGCCATCATGCTTTTAACTGACTCCTGTCTTGCTCTCTGAGCCAAGCCTCATGGATTTGACTTGTGTGCCATATCCATCCCCTTATCTTCACTCCCCTCACTACTGCCTGAGGCTGGACTCTCACCCTCGCTCTGCCATTCACGTGCCGGGCGCTGGCCACCCAGGGAACATGTTCCAAAACACACCAAGCCAGGACACATCTTCCACACCGACGCCCTTCACTGGAGCAAATAAGTTCTTACCAAGTAGATCTCTTTCTTGTTGATGCTTTAACAGTGCTTAAAATAACACAGATTTATTCCCATAGCCTGGAGGTCAGGAAACTGAAATCAGTCTTGGGAGGTGATAAGCAAAGATGGCTTCTCTGGAGACTTCAGGTGAGGATTCATTTCCTTTCCTTTTCCAGCTTCTACAGAGGCCAGCTTTCCTTGGTTTGTGGCTGCATCATTCTAAGCTCTACTTCTGTCACTACACCTCTCTCTCTCTGACCCTCTTGCCTCTTACAAGGACCCCGTCACTACACTGGGCCTTTCTAAATACTCCAGGAAAATCCATCTCAGGATCCTTCATTTAGCCTACTTGCAAAGTCCCTTTTCACACAGAAAGCAAACAAAGTCCTGGTGATGAGGATATAGCCATACATTTATAGGTTCTGAGGATCAGAATGGGAACTTTTGGAGGGAACCATTATTTTTGCCCTCCATCTGGACTATCAACTTTGTGTGCGAGGCAAGGCACTATGCAAAACTAGGACATAGTGAGGAACAAGTTATGGTCCCTACTTTCAGGAACTTAAATTTGGTGGAGGATGACTTTATTTTACCGGTACATTTTAGACACACATAATGATGACATCCATCATAGGGAATTTGTACCTGTGTGTGATATATCTTGCTTTCTTTTTTTCCATTCCCCTCTCCTCCCTTCTTCAACCCCTCTCCCCTGGAGGATGACTTTAAAGTAAAATCTGAACACACTGAGACTTAGCAGTCTGCCCTCTTCTAACCTCTGGATGTCTACGTGATCTGCAGGCCCAGGTCAGGCACCCTGAGGTCATATGTTTTCTAAGCCCTCGGTGCAGACTTCAGCCTTCCTTCCTTCTTGCGTCCTAGCCACTTCGTTCATATTCCCAGTACAGCTCAGTGGGCTTGCACGCCTTGCCGATTATAGACTCTTTGAAGGTAAGGCCTGTCCTTCCTTCAGAATCTCCCTAGCAGCTGACACCTCCCCTGCCCGTCCCTCTTCCACATCTTTGACACAGTATCCAGGATACTGCGCTCAGGACATGCCGGTACATTGAATTAGTGCTGTTGATAGGGCGAATGAGCAAGAGGGAACGGATGCTGCAAGGAAGCCAGACATGTGGGCTCACTGCTGAAGTCCCAGCACTCTGGGCAGCTGCGGCAGGATCGCAAGTTCAAACCCAGCACAGACAATTTAGTGACTAAGACCCTGCCTCAAAATAAAAAATGAAAAAAGGACCAGGGATGTAGCTCAGTGAGGAGGCCCTAAATTCAATATTTGGGGTGGGGATGGGAGAACTTACAAGGAAGAATAGGAAGCTAAGTAAGGAAGACATTGGAAGCAAGAAAGGAGACCAAAAGGGAACCTTCCTGATCCAGTTCCCTGGGGTCAGATGTCTGCAGCCAGAGT